AAATAAATAAATAAATAAATAAAATAGGGAGAGGAACCTGTATTACCTGGGTGTGCCCAATGGTCCTTCAACTGAGAAAAAGGAAGGCAGAAGAGTCAATGCCACAATAATAATTTGAGAAAAAACAGCCACTGCTAACTTTGAAGAAGAGGGCTTGATCCAGTTATGCAGATGACTTGTAGAGGTTGGGAAAGTTAGGAAAATGGATTCGTCCCAAAGCTTGCAAAAAGGTAGACATTTGTCAACACCTTGACTTCAGCCCAGAACCATGTCAGACTTCTGACATGATCTCTGTAAGATAATGAATTTGTCTTATGAGAATTAGTTACAGCAACCATAGGAAGCTATGACAATGCTGTAGTCAATGCTAGTCTGTCATGAAGTCTGGGAGCCACTTTAACCTGTGACACTGGCCCTTGCTGGGTAGGCCTTCCAGTTGGAAAGAAATAACAATTGACTTCAAGAACAAGATCGTCTTCTTACCTGGGACCGTATTCCCTCTGAGGGCCAGCTGCCCTGCGTTGTTGTTTCCCCAGCCAAATGAAGTTCCTGAAAGAGACAGGGCAAAGCTGTGAGCCCCTCCTGCAGCCACCTGAGCCAGCGGAATCCCCTCCAGGGACCTCACCTTCTGAGGGGTGGCTTGGGAGGGAAACTCCTTCCCTAGGCCCAGCTGTCCCTGGCTGTTCTTTCCCCATGAAAACAGTTGCCCATCTATAAAATAAAGAAGAGAAATTCAGAGTTGCACACTTACTGGAAAGCTAAACTCAAGGTGAAGCTACTGCCTTAGTTCTACAATATTTTTTTGCTTTTATTTGGGTATAGTCTACAAAAATCATATACATTTAAGGAGTTCATTGTGCCTAAACAGCTAGAGATGGTAGGTAGAAGAAATTATATAATTGTCATGGGATATAACCCAGCCTCTTAGGCCATTGTTGAAGTGGATATTGGGATGTGACTAACTATAGGTTTAAATCTCATCTCTTCTTTTTTTAATTTTTATTTTAATTTTTAATGTATTTAGTACAGGGCCTACAGGATCTCACTACACAGATCAGACTCGTAGTGATCCTCCTATTTTCAGCTTCCCAAGCACTAAGATCATAGGCACACCACCATGCCCGGTCTCAGCTGTCTCAGCACACTCCGGGGGAAGGGCTGGCATAGCAGGCCTGGGATCAAGCCCCCAGTCCAGGTGCTTTAATCCATTAAGCTATCTGGCTGGCCCAAATCTCATCGCTTCTATTTCTTAGTGTTTTAACTTTGGTTCAGTTATTTGAAGTCTCTGTACCTAAATTATCTCATTTGTGAAATATGCATGTGAATAGCACATAGCTTCTGTGTTTTCTAGGAAATTATATGAGAAAACATGTGACACAGCAGTGTGCACACAGAAAGTAAGCAGTGAACCCTGGCTGCCAGAAGCCCCTGTGATGTGGCTCCAGCGCTGAATAGCACCCCTGAGAAACAGCAACTGCTGCACGTCCCTAGGAAGGGGTCAGGATAGGCCTCCCAAAATACGTCAATGCTGCGTAAGGATCATTTTGAGCTGAAGACAGTTGAGAATCATCAGATGCAAGAACAGTTTCTGGCCCTTATCTGCCTAAGAGGCAGCTATAAATATCTCTTTGTTTTGTTTTGTTTTGTTTTGTTGGAACCGGGGATTGAACTCAGGCCCTTGTGCTTGCCAGGGAAGCGCTTATTCCACTGAGCCATCTCCCTGGCCCCCTAAACGTCTCTTTGTAAATGGGTTTTTCTCTCATATCAGAATGGAGAGCAACCCTTCCCCTGGAGACAAGAGCTGGAACTGAGATGAGTCTACATAAACAAATGTAACTAAAATTATTTCACTGTCCTTACCTTCTGATAGCTACCTCTTATATTTTCTAGTCACTTCCTTATAATTTCTCATTCTTTTAAGCCCAAACTCACTTTCTTTTGTTAAAGTGGTAGAGAAGTCCCCAAATCTAACCATGTTCTTTAGGTTTTGGTTTTTTGTTTTTTTTTTGTTTTTTTTTTTTTCTCTGTGAATGCCTTTGCACACAAATAAGAATAAAAACTGGATTTCTGTTCTCTGCTAATCTGTCTTCTGTGCATTAAATTTGAAGACCTCAGACACATAAGAGAGTAGAAAAGATTTTCCTCTCCCACATTCTCCACTGAGAAGATTATACTGAGGAAAAAGTATAGGAGGGGTGAACAGAAAAATGTAATGTCATGATTTTTGACATCTTGACTTTTTTCTTTTTAATCTAAATAAAAGAGTCACACTCTTTCCTCAGTTTGTTGGTATGAAGAAATCATACAGTATAAAGGGCAAAGCACTGGAGACGAGGCCTGAGGGAACTCAGGCCAGTCCGGTCTTACGAACAGGCTGACCCTATATGGTTAAGATATGAGTTAGGCGTTATTTACAGTACACGACTAAAGAAACTTGAAAAAATATGAAAAACATCATATCTGATGAAACCTAGAGACTTAAAAACTTCTAAATAAATTAAAATGAATCCAATAAACCACTTATTGTTATGATTTAGATTTTAAAAATGTCCCCCAAGCCCTGGGATAAAGCTCAGTGGACAAGTGCCTGCCTGGTGAGTGCAAGGCCCTAAGTTCAATTCCCAACACCAAACAAACCAAAGACCCCTGAAAGTCTCCTGTGTTCAGAGGTTGAGTTTGGGATGGCCAATGGCTCACAGGGACACTATAATCACCAGTGGGCGGATCCACTGGCAAATCCATGTCAGACTTGCTGTTTGGAGGCGAGACCCAGTCAGAAAGGGCCAGTCACTGGGTGGGAACATGACCCGGAATGGAAAATCTCCCTCCCCTGCTCCTTCTTTTTTTCTCTCTCTCTTCCTGGATGTCATTGTATGAGCAGCTTCCCACCACCCAGGACTTTCTACCTCGCCATTTCTGCTTTGGAGCCAACTATCTATGGGTTGAAGCATAAACCAAATAAATCTCTCCTTTCTAAAAGTTGTGGGAGGAGCTGGGGAGATGGCTCAGTGGAATAAGTGCTTTTCTGGCAAGCGCAAGGGCCTTAGTTTGATCCCCGATTCCGCCAAAAAAAAAAATTAAATAAATAAAAATAAATAAATAAAAGTGGGGGGGGGCGCTGGTGAGATGGCTCAGTGGTCTAAAGCACCTACTTAGAACAAGCTAGGCTAAGCAAAGCACAGGGAGGCGGTTCAACCCCCCAGCACCACATGCCAGCCAGCCCCGCCCCCTGGTGGGCTGAGCTGGCCACACACACACAAAATAAATAAATAAATATTTTTTTTAAAAAAGTTGTGGGTGTTGGGTACTGACTCCCAGAAAGAAGAAAGTAAGCTATCATTCACATTCAAAAAATTACTTGCTAATGACACTCAGGTTTTTTTGTTGTTGTTGTTGTTTTATTTTTACCTGAGCCAGGGATTGAACTCAGGCCCTTGCGCTTGCCAGGGAAGCACTTATTCCACTGAGCCATCTCCCTGACCCTTTTGTTGTTTTATTTTTACCTTTTGATAATGCAAGGGAATGGTAGTCTCCACAGGAAACTTGTATTATTTTTATACTAGTCAGAGCTTCTATTTTCCTAGAATTAAATAATACAAAATCTATTAATCTTTAATTAGAATGAATTTTCAGATGAACTACAAATATTTTAAAACATCCTATGAACAGGAAATCAATTTTATTCTCTTATATTGGTATGAACAAATCATACAGCATAAAGGGCAAAGCATTGGAAACAAAGCCTGAGGGAACCCAGGCCAGTCCAGTCTTATGAACAGGATGACCCTGTATGGTAAGATATGTACTTCCCTTTTTCAGAAGCCCTCAACGTCACCCTGCCTTTTGTAGACTGCTCCATCTCACCCAGCAGCCTGCAAGACCAGAAAACCCTGCTTTTCCCTTGTAGGGACACAGGAGTGTAGAGTTCTCACACTCACTGCACTTTAGTCTTTCTTCACCACACCAGAGCTTGATTAGAGTCAAGTTCAACAGGGTCTTCTTTGTTTCCTTCCTGCCAACTCTGCCCTTTACTGTTGTTTTGCTGGATAGTACCTAGGGACAGTGAGACTCTTGTTCATCCATTCATTCATTTATTCATGTAGAACACCAATTAGGTGACAAGGCATTTAGCTACAGTAAGAGTCATAGTTACTTTTAATGTTTATCAGGACTTCGCTGAATTTATTTGGCATTCAGAACACTGGGAAGATGGGCTGGTAAGATGGCTCAGTGGTCTAAAGCACCTACTTAGAACAAGCTTAGCAAATCACAGGGACCGCAGTTCAATCCCCCAGCACCACATGCCAGCGAGCCCCGCCCCCTGGTGGGCTGAGCTGGCCACACACACACACACACACACACACACACACACCCACAAAAAAAATAAAAAAAAAAAAAAGAAGAACACTGGGAAGAAATCACATTGTGTCAAATTGTTCTTAACAGAATCCCAAACAGTATATAATGTGAAAACAACTTTTGTTGGCCTTTGGGGGATTATGTAGTATAACCATTATTATTCACCTAAAAGAAAAATCAATTCTTTCATACAATAAGGCTTTAGAATTTATAGATCACCAATACATCACCTAATTGAAGCTCTATGAGATATAGAAGCCATTAGTTTGAATCATATAAAATGGCCACTTCATGGTTCAAAAATAACTATCAGCAGTTCAATATGTTTGAACTCAGTGGAACTCAGAGAAGTCAAATAGCTATTGAGTTATGGAATTGGGCTCAATTTTTGGCCTTATCATTCTGCTAAATTTGGTCAAAGCTGCCTCTTGACATATGGAATGAATGAAATACATGGAGAATATTTAATTTTTTAAAACATTTATTACAGTAAAAGATATATTGCTATTAATACCTCCAAAATGCTACCCCTTACTTCAAATACAGTTATCCCACCATTCTTGCCACTTTTTGAAGGACTTCTGGAAGTTCTCCTTCATTAGTACCTTTAGTTGTGTTGTCTTGGCTGCTTTGATGCCCTGATTTGATTTGTAACTTTCATCCTTTGATGGTCATTTTGACTTAGGGGAAGAGCTAGAAGTTGCACAGTACCAGACCCAGTGAAGATGCTGCATGAACATGCACAGAATGTTTTCATGGGCTTGCCTTCTATTGGATGACATTAAGCAGTAGCATTTACTATATATTTTTTAAATCACACTTCATAAAATGAACTCATGAAAGATCTCCAGAGCTGCTTCAGCAAATAACAAGGGTGATGGTATAAGGGTGTGCTTGAAAAGAGGGAGAGTATATGAAGGAGACAAGTGGCATTGTGTCTTTTCTGTAATAGATTTTCAAAAAAATTAAACTATATTTTAATGACATGCATATTTTGAGGTTGGGGTAACAATCTCTTCATATGTGGTGAACTATAATTTAACTTGATGTATAAATAAACTATAACTTAGTCTTGTAACGAATAACCTAGTTTCAGCTAGCCATCGTAGCTGACTGTCCAAACCATGTTCAAGTAAGACAGATGTAACTGTAACTAATGAGTTTCTGCAGGTCACCTCTGAGGTATATATCCAGATATCTAGATAAGACATCCAGAAGTATATCCAT